CCCCGTGGCCGTCCCTGCACACCCCACAGCTGGTCCCCCCGCAGCCCACCCCGCGGCGCTCCCTGCACACCCCACACCTGGTTCCCCCAGGGCCCACCCCGCGGCCCTCCCTGCATACCCCAGCACCTGGTCCCCCCAGGGCCCGTCTCATGGCCCACCCCGCGGCCCTCCCTGCACAGCCCAGCACCAGGCATTCCTCAGGGCACCTTGGGCCTAGGCATGCTGCCCAGCAGGCCACAGAATGCAGAGCCCCGGGTGCGTGCGTGACCTCTCCCTGGTGCAGACAGAGCTGAGCGGCTGCAGGGCTGTTGGTCCCGCAGCATGGCTGCCCGGATGGTGGATGCTGGGGGTCCCCTGGCCCACGCACACCAGACCTGGCCCTCTCAGGTGAGCCCTTCCCGGGGCCCCCCAGCCACCCTGTGTGCGCTCTCCACCCAAGCCCACTGCGCTCCGTCAGCCAGGCCAGCACCAGGGCCCCATCACGCCCTGTCCGCCTTGCCGTGCCCCCTCCGACCGCACAGGAAAGGAAACCAAGGTTCCCGGAGCCCGCCTGTCCCTGGGGCCGCAGCGGAGCCCAGCCCAACCTGTCTCAAGGGCCCACCTTCCCCAGTCCCCAAGGCCAGCTCCCAACCATGCAGGGCGGAGACTCTCCTATCACTCGGGGGGGGGGGGGGGTCACTCTGCCCTTCACCCCAACCCAGAGCTCCCATGGCCGGCTGGCCCCTCTTCTACATCCGGGGAAGGGCCCCGAGGCCAACACAGGCTCCCAGCCCCTGTGGGATGCAGCACAGCCAGCGGGGCGGATGTCAGCCCTGCAGAGCCAGGGTTCAGTCAGGACACACAGGAGTCGGAGGGTGACGGGGAATCTAGGGGCTGGTCCCATCGAGAGAGAAGGGCACCCACAAATCCACGTCTTCATGCAGGCAACTGCCATGCGGGAAGCTGCCCTCGTGCAAGGACTGCCGCCTCAAGAGGACTGCGTGTGGAAGGGACCGCAGCAGGGGGGGCTTGTCCGGGGACCGGAGGGCAGGAGGGACGCCAGGCTGCAGGAGTCCCAGGGGACAGAGGGCAGGAGGGACGCCAGGCTGCAGGGAGCCCCGGGGACCAGAGGGCCGCCCCAGGGTGTGGGGAGTCCCGGGGGCTGGAGGGATGCCAGGCTGCAGGGAGCCCCAGGAGCCGGAGGGAAGAAGGGATGCCCCAGGGTGCAGGGAGCCTGGGGGTTCAGAATGATACCCCAGGGTGCAGAAGCCCTGGGGCCCAGGGAGCAGGAGGGACACCAGGGCTGCGGGGAGTCACCTTTTGCCTTCTGGCTGCTCCCCCAGCCGAAGCTGTGCAGCTCTGGCAGGCTGCCATGGGGGTGGGCTGCACTCCACCGACCCCCCAGTTCCACGACCTCAGATTCCTACGGAGTCCCCGGGGGGCGTCTGGACAGCAGCAGGTCTGGCCGCCAACTGAGACAGAGGCCACTGTGTCCAGCGTCCCACATGCGCACACGCGCAGGGCCTGGGCCATGCAGGCGGGAGGTGGGACGAGTGGGCGACCAGGGCCGGGCAGACCTGCTTCCGACTCCCAGCTTGGCTTGGCGCCGCCCCGTGGGAATGGGTGCTCCCGGCCCGCACCACAGCCAGGTGTGCGCCGGCTCTCGAGGCTCCCAGGACAAGGGCAGCCCACTCCGGTGTGGCCACAGCTCTGGCCGGCCCTGTAGACGCCCGCCCTCCCACAGCACGGGGCCCGGGCTCCAGTCGGGCGGCCACACAGCACTTTCCTGGGGAGGGCGCGGGCTCACCCTGTGCCCCGATTCCCGGGGTGGGGACAGAGGGCGGGCCCGAGGGGGTGTCTGGCAAAGCCTCCTGTCCACAGGCCAGGCTCTGGGACCCAGGGGCGGACCTGGACGCTCCAGGTGGGGTGGCCGAGACCTGGTGACCTGGGCCGTGGCCCCCTGGGGCTGGGTCAGCACCTGCCTGTGGGCTCCAGGCAGGGGCCGGGGCTCCAGGCAGGGGTCGGGGCTCCAGGCAGGGACCGGGACAGGGCTGCCCGCCAGCCCCGAGGCTCAGGTGGCCGGGAAGTGCCTGCCGGGTCCCGTACTCAGCAGGGGCCTGGACAAGGGTTCTGAGGGCCAGCTGGTGAGCTGGGGGTAAGGAGGCTGGGTCTCACGGGCCGACCACGGCTCGAGTCCCAGAACCATCGGGCAGCGCAGGTGCCCAGAACCCTGAGGAGGGGCAGGCGGGGCAGGCCCGGCTGGCTGCGCCCGTCCCCCTCGGTCTCTCTCTCAGATGCCCCTGACCGCTCCGAGCTGAGTGCTGCGGTGCCCCCCAGCCCTCAGACAGACACCCTCGCAGACGGGCCTTAGATACACGTCCTCGCCCGCCGGCCCTGAGACGTGGGTGCCACACAGAGGGGCTGCCCCCCCCCACGCCCACCCTCGCCCAGGCCACCCGGCCCGCACGCCTCCCAGCCAATGCCTCGGAGAGCCCCCACAGGCACATGGCGGTCACGCAGTCCTCTAGGCGGGGGCTGCCCTGGGCCCCTCTCCTGGGCAAGGGTCCCGAGCAGTCGCCACCATCCTCCAGCTCCTTCGGGCCGGCTGTGCCGACAACGTGACAAGGGACCTTCGCCCGAGCCCCAGCTCTGGACAGGGCTGGAGGATCTGGCAAGCCAAGACGGACCTGCAGGTTCCCGTGCTGCTGGGCAGAGAGCCCTGCGCTCCGTCCTAGCACACGCCGTGCCCACCGGCCCCAAAACCACAGTGCCAGGGACCTCCCCCACCTGGACCCGCTCCCCCGGCCTGCTGTGCCGAGGGACCACGAGCCGAGCCCCAACACCGGCGTGCGCTCCAGGGCCTGCGGGGCAGCAGTCGGGGCTTCTTGGGCCAAGACCGGGATGCTGGCTGCCTGCGCTGGGCTGTCCACAAGCCTCCGGGGCAGAGGCACACGAGGGCCACCCCAAAGTCTCACGGTCCCACGGCCGGCGCACTCTCCTTCCCCAGACGCTGTGCCCCTGCCATGCGGCGCCTCCACCCCGGTGTCGCCGGAGCTGGCATCCCTGCATGTCTGCTCGCACAGACCCTGTGCCGACCCCTCAGGATCCCTGACGGGTCCACCCGCGAGTCCCCCGGCCCTGCGAGGCACCATGACCCTCTGGGTCTGAGCAGCCCAGCTCTGCTGCCTCGCCCACGGCCGGCTGAGTGTGGCCAGGGCCCAGCTGTGAGCAGACAGGTGGGGCTGCGGTGGCTCCCTTCAGGGCCCGAACATCCTCCTCTCGGGCACCCGTCCCCCAAGTGCTGAGAGGCCCTTGCCTGGGCGTCGGGATGGGGCGAGGGGCCAAGACAGGAATGGCGCCCCAGGCTCCAGGTCAGCTGGTTTTTCAAGACAGCCTGCAAGCCTGGATGTGGGGGTGGCAGCCCAGGGTACCGGCGCACACCCTGCCCTGAGCGGGAGCCCCCCCCCCCCCGTTCCCACCACGCCCAGGACACCTCCTGGGGGCTACAACTGCTGGGCTCCTGCTCACAGCGGGAGCCCCGGGGGCCCGGCTAGCTCTCCCACAGCCCTGCACCAGGCTAAGGCCCAGCCCAGGCCAGGCTGCACCGCATACCCCGTAGCTTCGGGGGCTGTGACATCCCCAAGCCTCCCCGGGCATGGGGAGGTGCATGACGGGCCTGGTTCCGGCCCATCTCTGATGTCATTGAAACACGCGGAGTCTGTCACTCGGGGCCTGACCACAGCCATCTGATGGTCACTATGGGCGTGCTAGTCCCGGTTCCAAGCCACCTGGGCACTCATCAAGTCACCGTGTGCTGACCCTTTGCGCAGGCTGGGCCCCGAGGTCCCGCGCGCCCAGGTCGGGCGCCCAAGGCTGGGCCGGCCCTCCGTCACTCGAGGGGCACAGGAAGACACTGCCCTCTAGAGGCTGGAGGGGGGCAGGGCAGGTGCCCTGGGCCTCCCCGGCCGCCTGTCCTGGGCCTGTCCCACAGAAGTTCTCTGCCGCGGGGATCAGCAGTTAGTGTCATGGCTGTGTCGCTGGACCCACACGTAGTCGACTGCGGTTCACGTCCCGGACCCGGTAGCTTAAACTCACGCTGGGTGCGTGTGCGCCCAAGACCCCGAGAGGAGAACGGAGGAGAAGGGATTGCGGTGTGACCATGCCCCCTGGGTTTCTTGCTTTCTGTCTCTGTCTCTGTCTCTCTGGCGAGTGCACACACCCTGCAGCAAAAATCTGTCAAAAAAAAAAAAAAGAAGAAGTTCACTGCCACGGAAACAGGGTGCACTGCCCTGGCTGATGAACCTGCCCCATGGAAGTGGACCCAGGAGAGGCGAGCGCCCACCTTCCAGACCCTGTGCGGCTTCCAAAACACAAGGAGCACGGTCAGGCTCACCTAGGGCAGGGAGGCCGGCCTCGGGGAGCGTGTGCACCTCTGACGCGCTGCCCGGGCGGAGGAGGGCCAGCAGGCCCTCTGCTGCACGGCCCGGGTGCGGGAGGAGCCACCGGCATCGGGCCTCCATCCTGGGGATGGGGTGGCTTTCCATTGCCGGCACCACCCCGGCTGCATCCCAGAAGGCGCCCACTGCACAGCTGACCTGGCGCCTGCTGGCCCGGCCATGCCCTTCCCTGCTGTCACCGGCAGGTCTGGCCAGGGCTCGGTGCCCCCCACTAGGGCACACGGGCACGAGAGGTCGGGGAGACCACGGAGGCACCTGGGGGGCAGGCCGCTGAGCCTTCACGGGCCCGGGGCCCTCATGGGCATGCCCAGCTCTCACCAGCCCCTAGCCCACCCCCTGCAGGGCACACTCCAGACCCCCAGTGGAGGTCCCAGACAGTGCTGGGGCTTGGCGAGGGGTTTCTCGGAGCCACAGATGGCCCTGGTGCATCACCCTCGGACAGTGTCCTCACCCGGCCTCCTACCACCACTCAGTGGGCTGCAGCAGGTCCTGAGAGGCACGACCACCCCGTCAATCCGAGAACATCGTTGCCCCCGGCCCTGCACCCACGATCCCCTCCCTGCCCCGCGGGCCCGGCTGATCGGGCTGGGCCAGGCAGACGGGGCCCCGCCCTGCCGGGCCCATCGTGTCTGGTCTTCCTCCCAGGACCATTTCTTTTAGTCTTTCTCCTTGGACAGGTTTTCTGCTACAGAACACGCGTGCTCACCAGAAAGAGAGACAGAAAGCGGGAAATCACCCCCCAGGGGGATGGCCACGCCGCAACCCCTTCTCCATTCTCTCGGGATCTTGGGCACGCATGCACACAGGCCCGGCGTGAGTTCTAAGCCACCGGACCGGGTCCGGGACTCGAACCGGGGTCGACTACACGGGAGTTCAGCAACGTAGTCATTACGCCAACTTCTGGTCCCCCCACAAGCACCGCACAGTAGCAGGCAAGCCGTGGACCAGACCTGCCTCGTGTGAGGGGCCAGGGGGCCGAGCGTCCTGCAGGGCCCCCAGCTGCGCCTGGCCTGCCTGTGCCTCCCCGGGAGGGACGGTGCTCCGGCTGGGCGCTCACCGCTGCCTATGACTAGGGGCTGCTCCTACCCCTCCCTCGGGGCAGCGCAGTGAGGGCAGGTCCAGGCTGGGCCCGGCAGTGTGCACCATGGCTACAGACCCCGCCCTGGGCCACAGAACCCTCGGCCATGGAGAAGGCCAGCAGACGGGCTAGAAGCTGCCCCCAGCCAGCCGCGTACACGTGTGCACCTGACGCGGCTCGCTCAGTTCGCACCTGCAGGCCACACGTGCGCGTGTCTGCACTCACACCAAGAGATTACACGCAGGCAGTCGCATGCCTGCACACGTACACGTCACGACGCATAGGGCACACGCCGGCCAGCAGCGTCTCACGCAGCGTGAAGAGGGATCTTCCAAATGTCCCAACGCTACGGCAGGAGCGTGTCATGGAAAAGCCACACGCGCGGACTCCTCCCGCTATCAGAGCAAACTCGGGCTTGTCCTGCTGGCGAGCACAGCACACCAAGCGGGCGAGATCGGGCCCCAGTCCGTCCTGCCCCAGCGTGCCCTCCTGGGAGCTCGGGGACTGGCCCCGTGACTGCCCTGTGGAAGCCAGTTCCCTTAGCCACGGAGGCACCTGGAACCTGTACTTGAACCCCATTCACCCAGCGACCTTTATGAAGCCCCCTGACACACACACGCACCCAGCCCAAAGAAGCCTGGGCGCGTCGGCGCCATGGGGACCTCGGAAGTTCCTGCCCCCCTGGTGGCAGCTGCCCCGACTGCGGCCGTGACTGCAGGCCCCGCTGGATGGCGCCACGACTCTAGAACTGAGCCTGCTGAGGCAGGGCTCTGGGCCTCAGTTTCCCCAGCAGCTCCCCTCCCCACCAGCACACCTGGGCCCGCTCCGTCTCCTCCAACCACAGGGGTCCTCTGGGCTCAGGGCCTCCTCCCTTTCATCGGAACACGCACCCTGGGGGCTGAGAGCCAGGTCCCCCAGGACAAGAGTCTGCCTGCCCCCGGCTGTGCCTTCAAAGGGAGCCCCAGAGGCCACCAGCTCCACCCTGCACCTGAGAGGCCATCGCCCCACTGGGGACACCTCACCAGGAGAAGGCAGGGAGAGGGCGACCAGGAAGGCTGACCCGCAGGGCGCTGGCAAGATGGAAGACGGGCTGAGACTCACCCTCGCCAGCCTGCCGCCTCACTGGCCAACACCACTCCCCCCAGTGGGTGAGCGAGGCCCACCGAGAAAGAGGGCCTGGGCAGGGGAGAGCCCACAGCCCGGGAAGGGCCCGGCTGGCCCAAAGCTCATGTGTCCTGCCCATCCCGGGGCCTGTGCGGGGCCGGGCACAGCATCGGGCCTCACCTGCGCTCCCCTTTAGGGCCCAACACGGGGACGGGGGCTGGAAACCCCGGGGCAGGCAGCTGGGCTCCCGCTGGGCGGCCGCCCGAGCGCAGGAGCCAGGAGCGGGCAGGGCAGGGCACACAGATGGCACGGCAGGAAGGACGTTCCGGGACAGGCGGGACCAGCAGCATTCCGGGAAGGAGAGGC